GGCAATGGAATGGCATTGAAGATACTCAAGATGAAAGGGAATCGTGTAGCTATGATAAAGGTGATGCTGCTGACGATTGTGATGCTGGTAGGTCACATCCTGAGCGTTGTCTGCTTCACATTTTCCGCCTCGTCGCTGCGCGCGAGCCCGAGATCGCCAAAAGGTGTGTGTGTGAGTGTTTTTTTTTGGGGGGGGGCGCGAGCGCGCTCGTTGCCCCGCGTGCCTGGGTTCTCACGCGCGCCCGTGCCAGCATGACCGACCCCTTGGGATCTGCACCTCGAGCATGGCCCGACGTTCATGGGACTAAGAAGATGTTCGCCTGCAGTGACATGGTCACGGAGGTCAAGAACTTCAATATCATCCAAGGCTGATCAACCGAAGCCCATGCATCTGCTTTGTTGTGTACTAACGTGAACGCCAATCCGAAGTGAACTCGGCCACGGGCTGGGCTGGTTTTGGCTGGCGGCGCGGCGGCAGTTACAAGTTCTTCGTGCTTCGCGCGCTGTCAGTAACCTCACCCAGAAACGATGCATCGACGAACTACTAATGCCGTAGTCGCTTGCTCAAGGCCGCTTGAAGACCTATTGACGGCCCCCGCTGGCTACGATGGTGGCATCGGCTTTGGAAGCGGTGCCCGCTGATCAACCCACGCCCAAAGAGACTGATGGGATTTTGTTGTCTCGAGGTCGCCTGCGAGCAAATCCATATCACTCGTGACCAGATCAACTGAGCAAACCGTAATGTATGGGGTTGTGGAGGTGCGCGTGCGTCAGGGGCCCCGCGGCGTGCGCATCGTTCGCCGCTAGCCTTCGCAATCGAGTTTGACTGCGTAGTGGGTCGACCCAACCAAATCAATGGCACCCGTGTGTTTTGTGCTTCTCTTCCCATTTTGTCTACATTCCTGTGGCACTGGAGGTTTGCGCGCGTCTTGCGTCTTCCTGCGCGCCCTCTTCAATCGTGCTCGGCCGTGCGCAGCGGGCGCGGGATGGGCGACGGTGTGATGGGCGGCAGACCATCTCGTCTCAGCTGCGTTTCCAGGGCCGCCTTCTGGGCGGTCTGACTCTGCTGCGCCATCGCGCAATGAGCGCCGCTGGGCGCGGGGGGCAAGGCGCAGAGGCAGAGCAAGCCCCGTCTGATAACTCATCCTGCGCCGGAATCGATGGCGAGGGGCCGCTAGGCCACCCGTGCCGCTGGCACCATGTTCATTTGGCAAGCGCCCCGCCCATCCGCTCCGAACCCTGTGGCGGCCCCCGTCCGAATCTCCCCCCCCCCCCGGCGGGCCCTCGTGCGTGCGCCCGCCCCCCCCCCCCCCCCCCCTGCGACGCGCGTCTCCCAGCGGCCCGCAGGGTGGCCGAGGGGCGCGATTCCACCTGGGCGTCGCCCGCCCACCGGATCAGAGGATGAGCAAGCCAGCGCGGCTTGTTCCTTTTAAAGCGAGACCGTTACATGATTGGGCATGGGGGAAGATTTGCAGCGCTGGTGGGCAGCGCTGCTGTCGCGGCGCAGAGGTCGCATCGACGGGGTCGCGGGGGTCGAACCCCAGGAACGTTCGCGTCGCTGCGATTTGGAAGCATGTGAATGGGTGCCTGGTCCTTCGCAGGCTGGGCGCGCTTGAATCGCAGCGCCGCATGCGGCGTCTTCGCGATGCGTTTGCTGAATCACCCAGATTAGAGTTTCATGATTTACTCGGCGCGGGAAAGAAGTCGGCGCCCTGGAGCGGTGCATCGAGGTGCCCCAGGGCAGAGTCGCATGCCAAACGTGGCGGTGCACCGTGGCGCCGGCGTGGATTGTCACGCGGGTCATGGTCGATTTGTCGGGGGGCGCGGGCAGGTTGCGCCTTCGCAAGCCGCGCTTTTCAGGCATTGCGACGCCCCTTGCGCGAGATATCTTTTGTTGCCAGCTGCGTGGCCAATATTTGTTTTTGGGCCCGACGTCGAGTTCCCCGGGCCCGTTGGGCGCCCCGCGCGGCGGGCGCGGGGCGGCGCCAACTTGGCAGCGCCATTTAATATCCGCGGGGGCGGGGCGGAGAGGCAGAAGGGCGATCTTGCAGGCGTCGTCGCGTTCGTGCTTTCAGGCGCTACCGGGCCGACTCGGGCCTCGTCTTTCTCGTTGCACTGTGCGCGGCCACTGTCTGCCGCGGCCGAGGTGTCAGAGCGCTGCGCTGACGCGTGGAGAGACTTTTGGAGCGTCACCAGGTGGACTTTTGAAGGTGCTTGCATGTGGAACACGCCCCGCGAGAGATGATCTTGGCCCAGCCTCTCTGCCGCCCCCCCTCTCGCGAGCGCGGCGCCGAGGCTGGCGGGGGGCGGTCGGGCGACGTCGGGGGCGAGGGCGCGGGGGGGAGGCGGCGGCGCGCGCGTCGGCAGATCTATCGGGCTCTGTGCGTGAGCGAGTATATGTTCACAGGCGCGCGCGCATGGGCGCGCGCTGCGCGCGCGCCTCGGCCCTTCAAGTTCGGCGCGCGGGCGGGGGGGCAGGGGCGGGGGCGGGCCGTTGGGCG